CATTTCTGCATCTGTTTTGGGTAAAGAATCTGGAAAAAATTCTCCTTCACAGACTGATGTGGGTAGGAAGGAGATCGGCAGAGTTTTCAGATAGATGATCATGGATATTCCTCTTGGATGCTTCATTAACAGCAAGTGGGCTTTAAAAAAAACTCACTTATCTTGTTTTACTTATATGAACATATACTTGTATGTGTGTGAGGTACAGGAGGCCAGAAGGAGGTGTCAGATCCCTTGAGATGGAGTCATAGGCAACATTCGTGGGCCATCTGATGTAGATGCTGGGATCTGAGTTCTGGTCCTCTGACAGAGCAGTAAGTGCTCACAAACACTGAGCCATCCCTCCAGCCCCGGCTGTAGATTTTGTTTTGTTTTTAAGATTCATTTATTTATTTATTTATTTATTTATTTATTTATTTTAATGTATGTATGTTGGAGGGAGGCTGCTAGTTTGTTCCTGGCTGCTTAGCCCCGAAATAATCACATAAAAACTGTATTAATTAAATCACTGCTTGGCCCATTAGCTCTAGCTTCTTATTGGCTAACTATTATATCTGAATATAACCCATCTCCATTAATCTGTGTATCACCACGTGGCAGTGGCTTACCCGGTAAAGTTCTGGTGTCTGTCTCCAGTAGGGCTACATGGCTTCTCTCTGACTCTGCCTCCTTTCTCCCAGCATGCCATTTAGTTTTCCCTGCCTACCTAAGTTCTGCCCTATCAACAGGCCAAGGCAGTTTCTTTATTCATTAATGGTAATCACAGTACACAGCAGGAAATCCCACATCATATGTACGTGTGTGTGCAGCTGTCTATGGAGAAGAGGGTGTTATGTCCCCTGGAGTTGTAGTTACAGACAGTTGTAAACCTACAGGTGTGGGTGCTGGGAAACCAACAAGAGCAGCTAAATCTCATTATAACAGGGAATCATGAATGATTTCAGTGAGCTTTTTTTCCTTTTCTTCGCAGGGGTGTGGGTGGACTCCACGGCCTCACACCAGCGAGGCAAGTAATCTACGATTGAGTCACATCCCCAGGCTTATCAAATGTGTCACAGGTGGTTATATCAGCCTGTTGATACCTCTTGCCCTTAGAATGGGTTCAAGGTTCACAAGGGTACATTCGCACCCAGAAGAGAATGAGTAGGGTGTGGGCCACTGCCGTAGTAACAGCGTTGTGGATATCAGACCTTGCCTCATGTCTTGGAAAGGCTTCGTTCTGGACTCTGTGGGGGTTTTTTTCAGCCTTATCGCTGAGATGACCAGGAGAGGCCTGTGCTACCTCTCTGTGAAGTGGGTTTTAGGATGATTTTGTCCTTTTTATGTGCGCCACTGATCAGCCTCTCATCTGCTCCTGAGGCACATTCACTCTGGAGGCACAGTTCAGAGGAAGGGACACCAGGATCCAAGCTGCTCTCTCCTTTTCTAAGCCTCAGCATCCCCAACCCTTTTCCGTTTCTCCTCTGGCCGCTTCTGAGCTACAGCTTGGCACTGTAAGCACCTGACTTTTGCCTGGAGTTTCCCAGTGCTCCTCTCTAGTGAGGAGACCCTAACTTCCAGAGCAGAGCAGGCCAAAGGCTGTTGCTGGAGGACGCGGACTTGATGACTCATTTCAAGCGCTAGTGTATTTATGGCCATATTGAAACCTGCATATCAGTTCCAGTGAAACACTGTCCGTGCAACGGCTTGGATTAGTCACCTTCGATGACCCATGTATTAAAGGCATGTCTCCCAGCCCACACGTAGGTAGGAGAACCCTTAAGGGATGGAGCCTAGCCGGAAGTCTTTCAGTCATATGGAGGTGTGTCTTGAAGAGGATTAGTGGGACCCTGGTCACCTTCTCTTCTTCCTTATTTCCCACTATCATGAGGTGAATTGCTTCCTCCACCATGACTCCCTGTCATGATGCCACAGACCCAGAAACAACCATCTTCTATCCAACCTCATGGATGGAAGCCTCCAAATCTATGAGACAAAATTCACCATCCTTTTTTTCCAAGTTCTCATCCTAGGTATGTTGTTAGAGTGATGAAAATCTGAGTAGTAAAATTCTGATGTTTTAAAATCATTCCCAGAAACACAATACGCATGGAGTCTTGCTCTTTAAGGATAGAATGAATTTAACTTGACAGTCAAGGGCACATTCTAGACCTTAGCCCAAAGACTGTGTCCGACAGTAACACTCCTTTCCCCTCTCAGAATCACACGACAGCAAGCCCAAACAGACAAGCGAAATCAGCAAAATAGACTCACAAAGAACAAAACGGGCAGGGCAGACTCTCTCTGCAGCAAATGATTCACGTCTCAGCCGAGTCTGATGGCCACTGAAGCCACCCACAGCGATGTCGGAGATCATCAACAGACTGAGAGAAACTTTAGATCAAATCATCACCAAATTATTTGGAGGGGAAATGAGCCCAAATGCCCAGCCAAACATAAAAAAATATATGGATGGAAAAGAAATGGCTGAACACACTGAGTTACGTAAGAGTTTCAGAAAGAATTCATGGGGTTTCTGGAAGCACAATTTCATCACGAGCTGAAGGGAAATGAAAAGGGAGACAGCAGGCGTAATTGCTATGAGCAACAGCTTCCCGCTGAGAGAGAAGGGCTTTACCATCAGCTCGCTGAGAATACATCCAGGCAAATACCGAAAACATGGAAATAAACACTTCTCATAAAATCAGAACACGAGGACAAAGGGGCACCCAGAGACATGCCACGTGTAGCAGAAAAGAGAGCGAGCAAAGGCCAGGTGAGGTGGTAATAGAAAAAGAGAAGCGAGAAAATTACATCTCCGTGGGCATCATTAGGGTGAGGGGAAGCAGGCAAATGGAAGGCGCTTAAAACGTAAGGGAGCAAAACATCAGAAAATGCCGCGGGTCAAATCCCGGAAGAGCAAACGGTGCCACAAAGAACAATTCTTTATAACAACAGCAGCAGCAAAAGGAACAGGGTGGAAGGGCAGGAGGGAAAATGGCAGCTAGGACTCAGGGAAATTGGGTCATACTGACTGTCTTATCTCTGACTATGTCTCCTTGGGCACCCATTCTGAGCTTCCGGGTCAGGCTCTAAGGTCGATGGCATCAAAGGCTTAACCCAAAACTGGTCTGTAGCATTTTGATAGCCTGACCCCTTTGACCCCCTGACAGACTTACAAATCCTCGTCCCAAAGAAGTTCACACGTGTTTTCGCTGGGTGGTTTTTTCTGTTTCCAGACTCATGCGTAGTTTGAAAGGAGACGATGGACTTTTAGGGTGGGAATTATAACTTCGAGTCCTCCCAATGGGCAAAATCCTTCGACAACTTCCGGTTGGCTAAGCGTTTCCATTCTCTAAGCCATGTTGAGCTGAACCAAGCTCCTGTCTCTGGAGGTTCTGTTGGAGCTGTTGGAGGCCATGTGGAAAGGAGCCCTCTGGTTAGCAGCATAAGGACGGGGAAAGGAAGCAGGGCTTGCTAAACTGTTTTGCAAGCGTTTGCTTTTTTTGTTTCCCCCAGCATCACTGTGTTTTTCATTTATTCCTCATTCCAGAAGCAATTAACCTGCATCCTATTGGGGTTTAGTCATCTCGGCTGGGCACTTTCTACCCTTTATGATCTCGGATTCTTGGCCTCATCTTATCTTCTCATCTGCTTTGAAATGGAGTGATTGGGAATCGAGCCTTGGAAGTGGACACATTTAGAGAGAACAGTCCGCTCACCTTATGTGGTGCCAGGATAGATAGAATGAGAAATACGAGGGAGGCGCAGGCTCTGCTCAGCGAGTTTGTAGCAAGGCGGAGAAGAGAAGACACAAACCTGCCAAATGTGATGTCAACATCAAGGGTTGGGTGGGTTACAAGAGAGAAGATTATAGTCCCGTGTCTTCAGAGAGCATGTTCTGCCATCAGGGGAGCCACACTTGCCATTGAAGCTGAGGCTTGAAGAGAAATGAGAAGCAGGCCTCGGAATACTTAGTGGAAAAAATGTGTCTTGGTGCTGGGCAGGGCCAGGCCCGGAAGGGTGTGCAGGCGAGGTGTGACTTCCGGCAACAGTTCTGTTTAGAAATTGGTGAGAAGATATGTAAAAAATTTTACAAATACGTTTACTTATCCATCAGTTTGTGTGGGTGTGCGGTGGCATGTGTGTGGGTCCCCACATGTGTGTGGAGGCTAGAGGACACTCACAAGAGTCAGACCTCTCTCTCTCCACCTTTGGAGCTGGGTCCTTTGCCAGGCTGAGGGACAGGCGTTACTTATTGCCAAGCCATCCAACTGGTTCAAAAGGGGGATGTTGTCATTAAAACTCTTTTTGTGTCTCCTCCCTTCTTTGCTGGGGCCCCTACTCCAAGTGCTGCCTGGAGATTTCACAGATTAACATCATTATAAGATAGATCCATCTTTAGATTGTAGATGAACATCTGCCAAGAGCCAGGAATGCTGCCTTTAATCTCAGCATTCAGAAGCCAGAGTTGTTACATAGTGAACACCCCCGCCCCCAACCCATTTATCCACTCAGTGTTTACTGAGTACCTACTATGTGTCAGTCATTGTGTTACATTATGAAAATACAATACATTGTAAACAATATCTAAGCGCCCCCCTCAGGCCAATGGACACTGTGTCCGAGAGACTCCATCCAGACAGAAGGGTGGATGAGTCTGTTCTCCATTTGCCCTGGTCTGTTGGTTCCTGAAGGTTGGCTTGTAGGACCGACATGAAGCAGCCAGGGACAGAATCTCCAATTCTAGAAGAGGATTAATGTGCTCTGAAAACATTGAAGTCAATGCTCGGAACAGAGTTTCAGCATTCGGCTCCAGCCTAAGGAAGCCGGCAGGGCGACAGGAAGTCTGGAGAGGGGCATTGCAGTCATCATGGGTTTTACCATGAATAAAAACAGCAATAGGAACAAGTAAAGCATTTGAAAAAAAAAAGGCTCCAAAACTAGGCAGCACAAACAGAGATAAATAAAACACACAGTAAAGAGACAAAATAATAAAATACTATAATTTGGCCTCCCAGCATGAAGAAGAAAGCGGAGACCAGAAGAACGGATTAGAATTCATGAGCCATTTGTTCAGCTTCGAATTGATGGAGCCCCGGCTGACTGGAGAGGCCGGAGTGAAAACTGGCTGAGGTCCCTGCAGATACGGACCGGCTCACTCATTCTTCCTCTGACAAGGTTAGTGTTATTAGTATTTTTTAAAGTCACAACTTTGGGGCTGGCAGTGTGCCTCGTCTGTGTTATTTCACACAGTCCTGTAGGAAACGCGGGCAGGGGCTCAGAGCTGCCAAGCAGCTTCTGAGCTGGCCCACAGGCCTCTCACGTGCCCTTCGTTCCCTCTGTGCTTCGCTGCACCTTCCCAGGTCTCCAGGGTTTTGATCCCAACTGTTGCTGGGTTCTGTGGGAGCAGCCCAGTTTGTCTCCCCTAACCACCTCCTCTCTGCCTTTCTCCTGCCTGGTTACCGGGCTTCCAACCACTTCCGGTCTTCCTATGTCACGTCGCTGCTGCTCTGTTATTGTCTCTTCTCATCCCCCTGAATGTATTTCTTTTAGAAGGGAAATGCGACGCGCATGCTCAATCTGGAAACCTCTAAATGCCAGTCCCGAGAAGGCCGCTGGCTTCTCATTGCAGTTCTTTGCGGTGAAAGAATTCAGGGAAAAGAAAAGAAGTCGTCCAAGGTCTCACACGTGTGAGAATGAGGACGCACAGGCAGGGTTTTCTTCTGGCTTCAAAGTCTAGACTTTGCATTTTATGTTAAATCTCCTTCTGCTACAATGGAGTTCATCGGCTTTCGGCTGAGCTTCGGATCTTACGTTATGACAAAGAAAATAATATGCTTCTCAGGCAGGAGCGGTCATGAGATTTTGTTCATCTCTGGGAGAAAAATACAACCAATCCTGAAAATTATACATGTAAAATTTTTATATTAGTTTCTTCATTTGAACTGTGTTATTAATGAGTAAACTGTTGTGAAAATACATGTCATTAAGGGAATTTTCTGGGTACAGTTACCATGGCCTTTTCTCCAAGACAGCAGTCATTGCAGGCAGGGCTTTGTGCTCAGCCCGAGCAAACATCCATCTTTGTTCGTGTGCTGCTTTGGCTTGTTCTGTGTGCACATCATGATGTTTGAACACTGGGTTTTCTTTTTCTGTTGTTTTGAGACACAGGGTTTCTCTGTATAGCCCTGCCTGTCCTGGAACTCATTCTGTAGACCAGGCTGGCCTCGAACTCAGAGACTGGCCTGCTCTGCCTGCCGAGTGCTGGGATTTAAGGTGTGTGCTGAATTCTGAGTTTTCTAGATCAATCTTCGTTTGGCTTCTAAAAAGCCATATGAAACTGTCACCTAAACCTACACTTATAATTCTGTCATTATTTGATCAAGGGCTGTGCGATGGCTCAGCAGGTGAAGGCAGCTGCTGCAAAGGCTGACAGCCTGGTTTTGACCCCGGAACCCATGTTAGGGTAGAGGTTGCGAGTCAGCTCCGTCAAGCTGCCCTCTGACCTCTATAAGCTGGCCCTGGCATGCACAGCCCCCGACACCTCACACATGCACCGATAATAAAACAAACGTAAATATTAAAAATGTCTTGATACGGAAGTTGAAACCCTTGAGTCACTGTTTCAGCCGTCATCCACGGACATGAGCGGTTCCTAGACCAAGGCCAGGAACGACACACGTCCAATGAATACAAACACAAATGTTTAGGAGGAGGCTGCCTGTATATCAGTTTAGCAGAGCATCAGTAGTAGATTTCCTAAGGAGGTTGTGACCTCCCTCAACATAGGCATTTTTTTTGTTTGTTTTTTTTTTGAGACAGGGTTTCTCTGTAGCTTTGGAGCCTGTCCTAGAACTCACTCTGTAGACGAGGATGGCCTCGAACTCACAGAGATCCGCCTGCCTCTGCCTCCTGAGTGCTGGGATTAAAGGTGTGCACCACCACCGCTCAACTTCAATTTAGGCTTTTGACCAGGTTTATGGTACCAGGCTAGGACTCTTTCTCATAGAGGACCAATCAGAAGGCAGTTGGTTTCTCCCAGAACAGTCATGCCACTATTGCTCCGTGGGTGCCACCTTGTTTGGAAGGTTCGTAGAAGAGCAGGTAAGATAGACAGTTGGTGAGATTGTTGATGCCTTTTCTCCCCTAGCAGTCGGCATAGTACCTTCTGGCACTGGTAAAGCTAACCATCTGGGAGGTCTTGGTTTCTTTCTATGTAGTGTCTTTAGCAATTGGGTGTTACCATCAAGTTCTGTTGGACAACCAAGAGATGTAGCCACAGCCTGTGTTGTTTAGGGAACTCCCTAGCCAATAACCTACAGGGAGGCAGGCATCGCATATCAGGTACTGGAATTTCAGTTTAAAAAAACCTGTGACATCTGGGAGCAGCATTAACCATGCACACAAAGTTCAAGATCCATTTGATTTTTAAAGTATATGTATATATAATTATACATATGTTTATTATATATACAAAACATATAAATGGAAAATATATAATATAAACTAGATAAGATCATTACATTTATAAAATGTAAATATAACAAAAAATATAATAAAATATATAAAATATAAAATAAATTTGTGTAAATATTATTCATAATAAAAATATCTATTTAGTTAGCTTATAAAGTAGTAGGCTTCTGCATGACTTCTTAAATACATTTTTAGTGTTGGTCATACACACACACACACACACACACACACACACACAGTTTCACAGCCTAGGTATATGGTAGGCTGGCATCCAGGATTACATAAACTCCTGTGATGTTTACACAGTTATAAAATTGCCTAATATGTCCCTTTGCTTAAGGGCCATATGACTCTAATTGCCATTCTTTGTACAACACAGTAAGCATACAGCAATAAAAAAAAAACTGGGGCTGCAACGCATGGTTTAATGAGTCTACAGAGTTTTGTTTTCTCCCTGGTCTGGCGTCTTCCTTACCTGTCGGAAGCAGTCTTCTAGTGACAGGGACCTCATCTCAGCGGCGAATGGGTGAGAGTTTGAGCTATAGCTCCACACGACAAGACTGCCAGTCTTCCGCCTTGCTGCTAAGTGTCCCCAGGAGGCCTCTTGCTGCCAGCACAGAAATCTTCAACTAGTTTCCAAGTGCTCCCCGGGGGCAGTCTTCTCTCTTCCTTTCCTCCCACCTCCAGTTACCCTGCTATATTCCTGCAGACAGGCAGATGGACCTGAACAAACTTGGGCACCGAATCTCTCCTGGTGAGGGGACTAAGAGTGTGGGCTGATTTAGAGCCTGCTCCCTGGATACTGGCAGCAGAATCAGCTGAAGTGAGTTCCAGATGTCCAAGGGAGTCAGGGTGGAGCGACCCACCCTCTTCTAGATGTCCAAGGGAGTCAGGGTGGAGCGACCCACTCCCTGACGAACCTTTCTCAGCTTGCTCTCTCCTCGTGGCGAGCTTTGCCAGGGCCAGCTCCTTCCCCTCATGGGCCTCCAGTTCCACCATCTTTGTTTCAAAGCAATCCAGAGGCTCTTCCCTTTCCTTCTTCTCTCTCCCGGAGGAAACAGAAAGAGGAAGGAGGCAGGCCTTTAGAGGTCCACTCCTCATGGACTGAAGGGTGATTGGCGGTGGTGGGGGAGGTCCTTGGATTTCATGTGGTCAGCAACTTTGTGTGGTGAGCCTAGAGCCTTCTTTAAGTGGAGCGTCTAGGCAGGCCCAGTCCTGTGGGGTCTCCCAGAGAGTCTGAGCACACAGACCTTTTTCCAGCTCCTCCTTGGTGGATCTCTGAAGCCTCAACAAGCTCCCATTTATTTCTTTATCCTACACACGCTGGGGGTTCAACCCACCGTCTCTCATTTCTGAGGCCTGATTGAGGAACTACATTCAAAGCAGGCCGCATTTCTTCACACCGACTCCCCTTCAAGGGGGTCTACAATGTCTGCTGTTTTATAAGGTTTGTGTTGTTAACCTCTGTAGATGACAACATAAATCACAAACACAAAACACATCAAGAAACAGCCACCTGGCCAGGTGTGGTGTCGCACCCCTGGGGACCCAGCTGAAGGGTTTGGAGTTCAAGGCCAGCCAGGGCAGAAGGACAAAACTCTTTCAAAACTTAAAACTAACAACAAAAAGAAATAGCGGCTAACATTGTCCTGAATTTTATCCCAAGATGCAAGTAGGTAGAGGCTTCTTTTAATCCTCCTTTCTTTAATGCCTCCTCCTGTGCAGAGTATTGGCCACTCCTCTGGCCTTTGTTCTGTGAAGGTCCCTCTAAGGGACGTAGACAACAAAACACAAAGGTAATTTTACCCTTTTTCCTCCTTTGCACAATCAGCCAACGTAACTGGCACCACACAAGTGTACTTTTTCTCACACTGGGGAATTCTCCCTCAGACATCAGTATAGTTGAATTTTCGCGTCGGCAGCCGAGACTTATTACTAATTATGGAAGCTTGGCCTTAGTTTAGGCTTGTCCCATTAGCTCTAATATCTTAAACTAACCTGCTTCTATTAATCTGTGTTTTTGCCACATGGTTTTATACCTTTCTTTCATTCTGCACGTCCGACTCCCTCCGTGTCTCGTTGGCCTGTCTTTCACACACCTGAATTCATCCTGAGTTTCTCTCTTTTCCCAATTCTCTCCTGTCTAGCTGCTGGCCATTCAGCGTTTTATTAAACCAACCACAAGGACACATCTTCACACAGCGTAAACAAACACATCAGCAGGATATCTTCTCACGCAATCCAATCCTGACACTATCTGCCTGGAGAAGCTGTCCAACCCCACTAGACAAGGGCTCAGTACTCAAGACTTCCTACCTTCCAAATGTCTGTGCTGCAGAAGATTATGGCATGGACTGACTGGCAATACTCAGGTTTCTATGACCCAATTTGCAGCATTTGAAGGGACACCAGCCCACTTGAGCATGGCTCTGGCAGGCCTTACTGTGGCGGACCTCTCGACCGGCAACGAAGAACGACCACCACATCAGGATTCCACTCAGAACACGCTTTTACTGGAGTGCCCTTGATTGATGGGGAGCAGGGAACGAGAGGGCAGGAAAACGAGGGACAGGGAGCGGAGGGGCAGGGAGCGAAGGGGAGAGGCAGCAGGAAGCGAAGGGGCGAGGCAGCAGGAAGCGAAGGGGGGGGGCGCTTAGGCAGCCGCTTAAATAGGGAATTGGTACATGGGTCGCCCTGTGATT